ACAAATAAATGGAAAGATATTCCACACTCATGGATTGGAAGAATCAATATTGTTGAAAGGTCCATACTACCCAAAGCATTCTACAGACTAAATGCAATCCCTACCAAAATTCTACTGGCATTTTTCACAGAAATAGAACAAACACTCCTAAAATGTGTATGGATCCACAAAAGATCTTGAATAGCCAAAGCGATCTTGAGAAAGAACAAAGCTGGGGGCATTATACCTTCTGATCCCAAACTACGTTACAAAGCTATAGTAATCAAAACAGTATGTACCGGCATAAAGACAGACATCTAGAAAAATAGAACAGCATCGAGACCGCAGAAATAAACCCATGCATACATGGTCAATTGAGTTATGACAAAGGAGCTAAGACTAAGGGAAAAGACCGTCTTTTCAGTAAATGGTCCTGGGAATACTGGACAGCCACATGCAAAAGAATGAAACTGGACCACTTTCTTACATCATACACAAAAATTAACTCAAAATGAACATAAGACCTGAAATCATAAAACTCCTAGGAGAAAACATAGGCAGTAAGCTCCTCGACGTCAGTCTTGGAGATAATGTTTTTGATTTGACGCCATAAAGCAAAAGCAACAAAAGTAAAAATAAACAAGTAACAATGAACATCAAACTAAACAGCTTCTGCGCAGCAAAGGAAAACATCAACAAAATACAAAGGCAACCTACCAAATGGGAGAAATATTTGTGAATCATGTATCTGATAAGGTGGTAACAGCCAAAATATATAAAGCACTCATACGACTCAATAGGAAAAAAAAATCCGATGAAAAACTGGGCAGAAGAACTGAATAGACACTTTCTTAAAGACATACAGATGGTCAACAGGTACCAGAAAAGGTGATGAACATCAGTGATCATCAGGGAAATGCAAATCGACCCGTGAGATTTCACTTCACATCTATCTATTGAAAAGATTACTCTCAAAAAAAACCAGAGATAACATGTTGGATGTGGAGAAAAGAGGACCCTTGTGAACTGCTGAATGTAAACTAACATAGCCACTATGGAAAACATTATGGGGGTGTCTCAGAAAATTCAAAATAGAACTTCCCTATGATCCAGCAATTCCGATGTGTATTTATCCAAAGGAAATGACTTACTCAAAAAGATACATGCACTCCTCTGTTCACTGCAGCATTATTTACAATAGCTAAAACATGACAGCAACCCAGGCATCCATCAATGGACAAATGGGCAAAAAAAATATGACACACACATACACACATGCACTGTAATACTATTCAGCCATGTAAAAGAAGGCAATCCTGCAATTTGTGACAACGTGGATAAACCTTAAGGGCATTTTGCAGAGTGAAATAAGTCCGACAGAGAAATACAAATACTGTATGATCCCACTTATATGTGAAAGCTACAAATAAAAAACTCATAGATGGAACAGTTTGGTGGTTGCCAGAGACTGGATGTGGGGATGGGATGAAACAGACCAAAATGGTCGAAAGGGATGAACTTGTAGTTATAAAATAAATGAAGTGCTGGGGATATAATGTACAGCATGGTGACTACTGTTAACAATACTGTCTTGTATACTTGAAGTTGCTAAGAAAGATCTCAGAAGTTCTCATCAGAAGCAAAAAAAAGTTTATAACTGTGTGGTGATGGATGTTAGCTAGACTTACTGTGGTGAACATTTCACAGTATTTACATATATCCAATCGCTATGTTGTACACCTGAAACTAATATAACATTATCTGTCAATTATATCGCAATTAAAAAAATTTTTTTAAAAACCTGCCACAAAAATTGTGGGCAAGACAGGGAGTTATGGAATAAAGAGAGAATTCCGGGAAACAACAGAGAATTGTGTGAGACGGGAAACTGTGGGAGATCATAAAAAATTGTGGGAGACATGGAAGACGGGGAATTCTGGGAAAGGGCAGAATTGTTGCAGAGGGAATTGTGGACAAACTGGGGAATTGTGAAAAGGAGGAAGATTATGAGAGGGCAGAGAATCAGGGAGAGCAGAGAATTGTGGGAGAGATGAAGAATTATAAAGGAATCAGGGAATTATGGGGAAAAAGGAGAATCGGGCACAAGACAGAGAACTGTGGGAGCTCTAAGAACTATGAAAGCAACACTTTGTAAACATAAGCAACTGTAGGTTTGGAAAGGAGATTTAGTTTACTACAACCAGTCATAAATTGTTTGTAATTTCCAAAGAGCTTCAGTTTTTCCTCTCTGCTAAACCCTTGGGTCTGACAGCAGGAGTTCATATCACATTACCATGGATTGGCAAACCCACAGGCGCTGCCTTGTAGAGGCGGACGTACACACACAGGCACATACACACACATATATACTCACACACATGCTTGTACATACGCACACAAAAGCACACACATATACACACATGTGCACACACGTCTTGGACATTTCAAACATGGGAACAGAAATAAACTAGAATTTACGGTTGGACAAAATTTTAAGCCTTATAAAAAATAAAACAAGACGAAAAAGTGATAGGATAACATAAGAAAATGAGAGTGCCAGCTAGGAATCCAACATACAAGTGACAGAGGTTCCTTCAAAGAAAGGATGAAGAGAGTAAGAGTGGAGCAAAGTTAAAAGAAAATTAATCATCCGAGAAAATATCCCCAATGTGAAGGTTATAGGTTTCCAGAATGAATGGTCCCATCAAGTGCCAAGCCAGTGAAAGCAAAGAGGTCTATATCAAGGCACATCTTTTCCAGCCACTGGAAGAAAGAAAGTTAAAAATAATGTCGACGGAAAGAAAAGAAATGACATTTGACTTTTCAACCTCAACCAGGGAAACTAAAAGACAATGAAGTAACCGCTTAACAGTTCTGAGAGAAATGCTTCCAAACCTGGCATTGTATTTCCAAACTACCAATCAATGGGAAGGGTAAAACAGTTTCTGATTTTCAAGACCTCGAAAACCGATGTGCTCCCAAAACAATGCCAAGAAGGATACATGGTATCCAAGAGCCCGAGGTCCAGCAAAGGATAAGAAAGGGCACAAAGAAAATCCCAAGAAGACGAAGGGGGGGGCAGAAGTCATTTCCAGTTTAGAATTGAGCAGCTGCGGCTGCAGTGAGGCGCTTATCTGTGAGATATTTCCCTTATCTCCAAGAGGAAAAAGGAAACATGCATGAGTTGATATATTTAAATGCACTGAGAGGAGATTTACAATGCAGACAAGAAACTTAGGGATAACCTAAAAATCAAAAAAGACAACGGGGCGGGGAGGCAAGGAGTGAATTCCATTGAAAAAGTACAAGGAAAAAAAATCATCTTTGGTCATAACAAATATTTCCATAGTCACAATAATGTAAATACGAAACTGTGACGTATCCCAAACCACATAACTATTGGCATAGGGGAGGGACCCGTGTGTGTGTGTGTGTGTCGGCATGTTGTCTGGAACATGGACGGAAAACTAGAAGAAACAGCTAAAGAGCAGTAAGTCTTTGCCTGGGGAGAGTGGGCGCTGCGGTTGAAAGTGTCCCCCCAGTCTCTCCACCCACCTACAGCTCTCCTTAATGCCCTGTTTGGTAGCTCCTTGTCTATAAAGCATCCTTGTTACTTTCCTTCGTAAGCACTTCCGGCACATCACCCTTTAACGGTCACTTCTTCCCTCTTCCTCCACCAGTCGGAGCATACACGTACTGACACGTAAATATGGTTATTTGTGTGCCCGTCTCTCCCATTACCAGGGGTTTTTGGCCTTGTGGTGCCAGTATGCCCCTTTGGACTGTGAAGTCTATGAGTATTTTCGCAGAATAATATTCTCACGTGCATAAAACAAACTACAAGACATTAAAGAAATCAACGATAGTGGAATATAGTTACCGTCAGATTTTAGAAAAACAGATTTTGATTGCTAAAGATCTGGCTCCCCAGGAAATATGCACGGATATAATATAGTTTTTAATATGCTGTCTTGAGCCAGTTTTGAAGCCCCAGCTAGAGGCTGGTCAGCCCTCCTTCTTGAGCAGCTAAGTCCACACCTGCCGACCAAGTGTCATTGGGCTCCCATACTCCTAGCCACCAGACACCCGCCCCCATCAGCCCAGGGCCAGGTCCCACCCAGCCCTGTGCTCCAACTCGCTGAGATTATTCAAATCAACCAGTCCTGAATCTGCTTACCCCACCTCACCTATTTCTTCCCATGAACACCATAATAAAGGCTTCTCCCCCCCAGTTCCCCCCTCTCCCTCTGGCTCAAGAAAGACTCTAAGTGCGCACACGTGTGGCACCCCCGGTGTGATATGTACTCCCTCTCTCGGAGTCTCTGTCTGAGTATAATAAACTATATTTTCAATGGCACTTGTTTCCTGATCTGTTGACCTCACCAAATCCAAATAATAATAATAACGAAGCTGATTAAAACAGCTGAGACTCCAAGATTTGGGCTAGGAATGCTCTCGCAACCCGCAGTGAGAGAGTGACAGAAGGTCTGGGCAAAGGGGGAGAAGTTGAATGCGAGGCAGCCACAATGGAAACCTCAGCCACTGAAGCTGGGATGGCCCTTCCAAGTTATTCCCCTTGAGGCTAGGGCCTGGGCCTCCCGGACCCTTGCAGACACCACTCAAAGGCTGCAGCCCATCCCCAAGGGAGGGGATGTGATTTTTGCCCGAGGCAGCTCAGCTCTTTTTGGCCCAGGGCTGTTGCTGGAGAGAGACCCAGCCTAGTGGCTGCAGCTGCTAACACCCCCAGCACCCAGGAGATGGCCTGCCCCGCCCTGAAGGCGGGGTGACACGGATAGACAGATGCTTCTTATTAGCACTTTTTAAGTAACAAGATAAAATGATCTTAATTTCAAAGTAGCGATGAATAGTATTTTAAGACAGAAACCCCCGTTATTTAGGACATAATTTCTCTGTGATTTCTATTAGCGCACATACAGCTAACGCTACTAGGATTTGTTGCCTGCATTCCTGATGGAAAAAAAATACTAAATTTTCTCTTAGAGGTAAGTGAAAATACAGACCTTCAAGTCCACACACCCAGTTAAGAAGGCCTTGGGAGCTGGAACCTTGATTTGTTCATTTTGGGATCTCCGGAGTCGGCCACCCACTGATGCTACTTGAGTCATTACTATAATTCAAACTGACGGGATACAATTTAAAAGCCGGAAATTTTAAAACTAACTCCTCCAAAGCAACCCCTCTGCGGCTTAAAGGAGCCATGGGCAACCTCACCCTAGGGAAGTCTCTGGCCCAGCCAGAACTCTCCCGGCCCGCGCTGCTTAGGAGGGGCGGGGCCAGGGAGCGGCCCTCGCGCTTATAGGTCGAGGCGGGAAGGGGCGGGGTCCGCTCCTCCGTGATCGACGGAAGCCGTTCCTCCTCAGCCCGCGCCCCGCCTCCCGCGCGCCCGGAAGTCCCGCCTTCGGAAAAGGAAGTAGCGGTGCGCTCGAACGCCAGCGGTGACCGCGAAGGCAACGGTGACCGAGAGAGGAGAAGGCGGCGGTGGCGGGCTAGCGGTTAGAGGCGGGGCCGGCTCCTCGGAGCGGCCCGGGACTGGAGTCAGGTGCGGAGGGGCAGGCTGGCCGAGGCCGGTGGGTTTTGGGGTCCCGGGACGGGGGTCCCAGGTGTGACACGCAGGGACCGCGTGAAGAAGCTTTTGGCCGCGTCCTCCCGTCAGCGGTCCTTTCCTTCCTCCTCGAATCCCTTTTCTGCCCCGTACCCTTCCCTCATTCCCAGTCCTTGGTTAAGCCCGGGTCTGGGGTTCTGGTCCGGGCTGCCCTCTCTCCCATCTGGATCACCACTTTGAGGACCCCCTGCTCCCTAGACCTACACCCCCCTCTCTGTGGTGTAGTTTCTCAGGGGCGCCCTCACCTCACCCCCAAAATCCGGACATCTTAGAAACGTGCGTCTAAAGAGTGGTGTGGTGTAGATTTCGCACTAGTATTTCCTAAAGGGGTTAATGTATTAAAGCTATCCCTCAAAGTGGATACCCTGCCCTGTAGGTTTACAACAGGATGACAAGGGGGAGGAACAAGGGTTGGGCAGATTAAGAATACCTAGGGAGTGGTCAGAGGCCAGGCATCAGCATTAATCGGTTTCTTTGCTTTTTGGCACGTGTGAGTTTAGAATCGTTTGGATTCGGCCTCGCGGTTCCAACCATGGGTTTGTCTGCGTCTACCCCTGCTGTTGCAGTTCAGACCTCAAATGCTTCTGATCATCAGACAGCATCCCCGCCTTCAGGATGCCCCATGCATGAAGGGAAAATGAAAGGTAATCGACCCTTTGTCTAGAAAACAAAAACAAAAGGGAATTCCCAAAAGGATTAGGATAGTGCGTGAGAGTGAAGTGATTGCTCCATACCTTAGCTCTTACCCCCAAAGTTTGCCATCGGCGGTTCTCAGCCTGGGTGGCCACCCCTCCACCCCCCCAGGGGACATGTGGCGGTGTCTGGAAGCATTTTGGTTTGTCAAAACTGAAAGGACGTGGTGCATGTAGTGAGTAGAAGGCAGGAGCCCCGCTAAACACCCTGGAGTGCACAGCACACGCCTGCAACAAAGAATCACCTGGCCCCGCATGTCAAGAGTGCTATACTGCCTTTCCCCTCTGCCGTTCAAAGTGTCAATCTTTTCTGGGTCACTGATCCCAGCTGGCTGTTAGAAAACACCTGCTTCGTCTGCATCTGTCTCCATTCTTCTTATATGGAGAAACCCTGGAAGAGCACTGTGTCTATAAACGTGTGGCCTGAAAAACGCTTGCTTGCCTTGTAGTCTTTCGTTGCCTTGGTCAGTCAGCAAGAATTTACCCACCGCCCACTCTTCGCCAAGCACTGGTGGGTTTTGTTTGTTTTTGCACTGAGAGAACAGCAACATACAGAACACAAAAAACTTCTGCCTAATGGAGTTCACATTCTCATCTTCATAATCCTGTGTGGTAGGTTTTCTCCCTATTTTATGGTTTAGGAAACTTAGAAGTCTCACAGCTAATAAGCGGCAGAGCCAGCAGAAACTCCGTGACCTGGGGCAGATCATAGAGCCCTAAACAGGCTTTGATTTCATTTACCGTGTATCCAAAAGAGCTGTCGGCCTGATTTGTTTGCATTAGTAAAGAATGCGGGTATTTGTAGGTGACTAAAGGGGCTACTGGTATTTTCTAACAGCCAGCTGGGATCAGTGACCCAGAAAAGATTGGCACTTTGAATGGTAGAGAGGAAAGGCAGTATAGCAAGTCTCTGTTCAGCCCTCGACTGGACAGCTATACAAGGTCCTAGTGAGAATGAGGGTCTGGGAGGAGAATCGGAGGACAGGAAGTGAAAGGAAACTTGTCTTTGGTGTGTAGGTCATCCAGAGTATTCTTGGTGTTACTCCTGCTTCCTGACACAGGGCTTCCTTACTCGGGCAGCTGTCTTCCCGGGCCATGGCTCTCCTGGTGCCTGCGCCTCTCCTGAGTCTAAGACCAGCTTCTCAGTCCCCACACTTGCTTCCATTAGCACCCTGGAACCTTGGGCATCAACTGCCCTTCTCACTGCTGCTCTTATAGGTTCAGACCTTCCCTTTGAAGTGGCATCTGGGTCCTTTGCGGATCGTGGACCGTTTTCTTTAATATATGCCTTTTGTTGCTAAATGTTTGCTATCTACCCATGAGGAATAGAACCTTGGCCAAGGAGTAGTTTTCTGTGCCTTGTTTCCATCCTAGAGCAAACACAAGCAGAGTGGCATTCAGACTTTTCTCCAGGAGCCTTTTTGAGGGCTCCTTTGTTCATTTTCATCTCCTGTGTTCAGTACCTGAGAGAAGGTATCAGGAAGCCGGGCCTCTGGTGTCCTGATCGGGGCTGGGCCTTTTCTGGAACTTGTGAATAGAAAGGGAGATTTGGTAAAACGTGGCCGACCCCCCCGCTTAGGTTCCTCTGCAACAGCTCGCTGCTGGGAGCCCAAGCAGGTACCTTCTAGCCCATTACTAAAACCATGGAACAAACGATATGTTCCTTTGCAAGTGTTGAGATTTTTTTTTTTTTTTTGTATAGTTGTGCTGAGGGCATGGCACAATAAGGGAGTGAGTACCCATTTCTCTTTCAAGGGGAGAATAAGTATCTAGAACCTTCTCCTGGTCTTTAGGATCTTAGAATGTTAGCTAGCTTAGCTCTTGGCAGCTTGAAACAGTATGGTAACAGCGTTACCACAAGGTAACACCTTTTCAGTACCCTTCCAAGTTATTCCCCCTTTGATGGTGATCCCAGGTCAGAAATCTAGCTCTTTAGGGCCCAGATTGAGAGAGCTAGATGTCCTGCCTTTGTGGTCACACTGTTTTTACACTTCGTTTACTTCAGGCTGTCCAGTGAGTGCGGAGCCACCTGAGCCAACTTGTGAGAACAAAACGAGCTCTGTGCCCACCCACCAGGACCGTGCATATGAGTACGTGGAGTGCCCTGTCACCGGCGCCGTGGCCGGCAGTAAGGAGGACCTGGACCCTTCTAACCTGGTAATTCACGTTCGGCCCCCCTCCCCACAACTTGTCATACAGAGATGCCTTTGTGGACTCCCAGGACAAATCGCTGGCTGCTAGGATTGATTCTCTCTTCCTCTTAAGATACAGAAGTCTCATATTCCATCCACACTGAAAATCTAGAAGGCATTTCTAAGTATCGTTTCAGAGGGTGCCTGAAAAAGAAAACCATGACCACCAAGTGCCAGAGTAGGTTGACTGGAAAGAAGCCATACCACAGGAATAGTTCCTTTGGGGATAAGTGGAAGGCAGGAAGTCCCATGAGGAGTGCAGTTAGGATTGGTAAAGGTGTTTCTGGTCTTGGGAAACCTCAGAGGCGTGAGGCTGATGAGGGCACTTTTTCCGGCCCAGCTGGGTGCCAGCCTGCGTGAGAGTCACTGGTGTGGTACAGCGTCCCGTGGCAGCCACCAGTGGGATGGCGTGACAAAGCAAGGCTAAGACTAGCACGGCCTCACTACATTTTGCGATAGTGCGGGAGGTGGGGGCTTCCTGTTTGGAATCCCATTTTAATGGAGAGACAGACAGATCTGTAGTTTAGAAGGCCAGAACAGGGTTCTTAGAAGGCCATGGTTACCAAAAGTATTTAGAAATCTTGGCCAACGTTTGAAGGAACTAGAAATACTTAGTCTGGAAGAGAAGGGTTGTGATATATATGTGTGTGTGTTCGTGTGTGTGTACGTTGTGTATGTTATGTATGTAACAATACCAGCAACTAGGTGGCTTGTACAGACATTTATTCTCACAGTTCCAGAGGTTGAGAAGTCCTCTTGGAAGGTGCCAGCAGCTTCAGTCAATTTGGAGGGACACAGACATTCAGCCTCAGCACTCAGTAATGACCCTGCCAAACTCTAAGGACACTGCTGTGTTGAGGAGGAAAGTGGACAAGATCAGGGCTTCTCTGCCTTAGCACCGTTGACATTGAGGCTGGTGGGTTTCTTGCGGTGGGGGCTGTCCTGTGCCCCATAGGATATTTAGCGGCTTCCCTAGTCTTTACCCACCAGTTGCCAGTGGGACCCTCTTTACTCGGTCGTGACAATCTAATGTGTCTCCTGACATTTCTAAAAGTGCCCTCGTTAGACTACTGTTCCAGGTAACAGTAGTTACTAGGGAACAGTACTGCTGTTAGAGAACAGCCTAGTGGTTCAGCACATGGGCCTTTTGGAATCCCACAAACCTAGACTCTTACCCCATGGGATCGTTACACGTAGTAAGAGTGTTAATAACAGCCGGCGTTCCTTTTAGTCGCATCCGTAGCCCTCACGCTAAGCACCATACACGCTTTTGAGTAATTCTCATAACCACCCTGTGCAGCCAGTAGTGTCAGCGTCCCCGTTTTTAGAGCGGAAGCCACTGAGAATGATCAAGCGTGCGGTTTGGCCCGCATCGCTCAGCCAGCATGTGGCAGATCCCAGACTGAATCCCACCTGCCTCTGATGCGCGTCCTTAAACCCACTGTGGTGACCGTGCACATCACTCTAACCAGGGGCCACGTTGTGACTTAATAATAAATGCGGATCTGCTCGAAAATCCCGCATACTTCCAACACAGAAAAAGTTCCGTGCCAGGGGTTCTCAGCCTGGCTTGATGTGTGCCCTCGGGAGGACCCTGGTTGTCACGACTCGGGAGGAGGGGTACTGTTGGGTAGAGACCAGGGAGGTTGCCACATACCCTACGGTGCTCGGAACAAACCCCCGTAACCAAAAGTTGTCCGGCCCCAAATGGCAGCGGTGCCCGGGGCGAGAG